TTGTAGCTCGTTAGCTTTGAAAAAAATTTACTATTTTATATAAATACTAGCTTTCCGCCAGCGGCTTCGCCCGCGTGGTCTTGTATTATACATAAAAACCTTCCTTTTAAATCACCCTATCTATGAAAAAAAAACCACATCAAAATCCGTTGCGTAGTTTTAAAGATTTAAGCATATATAGTGATAACACAACGTTGCACGCTTATTATAACGATTTCCAAACGTCAGTTGAAAAAAAAAGCAATAAGCAGTTTTTAAAAGCTGCTTATTAAAAATCGTACAACGTAACAACACTTAAAAATTTTAAGCAGTTATTTCCACCTCTAGTTATCGTCATACGTTTTGTTGTGATGTTTGCGCAAAAGACGAAATGCAAAGAAGTCTGTCTACATTTTGTGTTTAATTAATTTTAATAAGGTTTAGAAGAATATTTATGGATCGTGATACGCTATTTAGTTTTATCGAAAGATATAAAAGTCATTCCTGCTTATGGGACGTCTCTCATGTCCACTATATGAATAGAAACAAAAGAATTGAAGCCTTAGAGGACTTAGCACCACTTCTTGGTGAGGATGCAACGATTGATACAGTACGGAAAAGAATAGATATGTTAAGAAATTGTTATAATAGAGAACTGAAAAAAGTAAATGCATCCACACTGACGGCTTCGACGACCGACGAGATTTATACACCTACATTATGGTACTTCGATAGACTATCGTTCCTATCATCAACAGTACTAAGGAAACCTTATAGTTTGTTTATGACAGATGTAAGCCCTGACGAACAAGTATGTTTTAATTCGTAGACAAATGAAATGATACAAGAATGTAGGTATTGAAAACAAAAAGTCATGTAGAATTAACTGATACAATTGATGTTCTAGCTAATATAATATACATAGATAGATAGTTTATTATACCGAACTATTAAGGTTACTAATGAAACATCTTATTACAAAATAAGAACAAATTTAGAACTAGATTTATTCCATTATTTATACTAGAAGTTCCAGTTTTATATTTCCATCATTATTGTTCTTCAAAAATAATTCATTCAGATTGTTTCTTTTTTTTTTCAATGACATCAATGTATACTTCAATATCAGATTCTATAAAGATTTTAAAATTAAAAATTATATATATATTATATATATTATTATACAGTTAAGATTCTTTATTTTTGAAGAACAATAATGACTTGTGTATCAAACCGGAAGTTTAAGTTTCTGAAGAATCACCAATACATAAAGTGAATCAGTACTTGAGACAGATAATACTCAAGGGGGAGACCTCTTAGATTACAATTGTTACACAGAATGGAATGGAACCCTAACCACAGTAAGAATTTTGTTTAGCCAAGCCATAATACTACTTGTTTCTTTTTTTAATGGTGTCATATATCCGCCGTATTTAATATTTAAATAAAATATACCTATAACCTATTTCACTCAGGATGATGTAACATCTTTAATGATACCCTATATATTATATTTATACCTACATATATTGATAACCCTTAAGTTTTTCAAAAGTTATGGTGGAATAGAGAAATTCACTTGCATATACATACATTAACTCTTTAACACAATAGACTCCTTTTTTTAGGCAGTCATGCAAAAAAACAAAATATTATACTAGCCTATTGTCTATTGACTGTCAAGAACGTGTCATTGCAGTCATACTTAACAGCAAATTCAAAATATTTAAATAAAAATAATTTAAATTACCGAACAGGGTTCAAATAAGTTGACATTCTTTTCAATTTCGATAAATCAAAAAATTTAAGCTAAAATACATTATTACCTTAAATCATAATAATTATTAAAACTACACTGATAAATACCATTAGTGAGATTTAATTCAGCCTGTTTATTATAAAAATATTTTTTGCAATTGTATTACACCAATGAAGTTAAAATGTAAATTTAGCATCTATGATTAATTAGACTGCCATTAATTTTCAAAATGTGTTATAATACATTTTTTGTTTATTTAAGGTCCTATTTCTGTTCTAGGTTAACACCAGTGGATATTCAAGCAGTGAACACAGATTAATTCAAAGAAAAAAACAACTCAAGGCTCGTAATGAAATGTATAATGTAGCTAAAATGATGCTAACAAATTCCCAACATAGCCAGAAAAGTACATTTGGTTCATATTTAGATGCACAATTAGACAATATCAGTAACGAGCAAAGATTTTTAGCAGAAAAGCTCATGAGTGAAATACTATATATGGCAAGAAAAAATTATCCTAATGAATCATCTACTATTGTAACTGATGTTAATTCTCTAACTGCAGATGAACAGTGTCTAGAATATGCATCAGAGTAAATTTTATTACTACCCCTTATTTCTACCCTGTTATCTGCAGCTCAAGTCGATATTTCAACTTGCTTTGTATATTTCAACAGCCAAAAATGATCATTAGTGGATTGACACCACTATTCCCTCCCTGGATGTCACCTATATTAATTACACTATACAAGTATAAAAAATATAAGTAAATATTTTTATATAACTTTTATAATAGTACATACCAATACTAAATATGCACTGACTATTCAATTTGAAGTATAATACATCAATAAAATGTAAGTTGAACTAGTATAGATTATCCTATATAATGCTATACATCGTTATAATGATATATATATATATATATATCATTATAACGATGTATAGCAGCATGGAAGAGAATAAAATATTGCTAGACTTAAAATCAGTAATTTATTGTTTAAACATAACATAAAAATTTTAACCCCTACAGGGGTTACCAACCTATTATATATATATATATATATTATATATATATATATATATTATATATATAATATATTATATATTATATATATATATAATATATTATATATATATATATATATATATATAATAGGTTGGTAACCCCTGTAGGGGTTAAAATTTTTATGTTATGTTTAAACAATAAATTACTGATTTTAAGTCTAGCAATATTTTATTCTCTTCCATTTAGCTGAGGTTGAGCAATTGGGGTGTTATATTTGATCCGTCTGTTGAGTTGCATTAATGGACATCCATTACAAATTGAAGGAGTGAGAACCCTAGGATGCATCTCAGTCATCTCAGGTCAGCCCTGCGATTCTGTAAAACTTCAAATCGGAATTCGAATCCACTCAGGTGTCCGAATTCACTTCAAAAAGCCGCATACGCTCAATCTTGAATTGGTAATAACGTTTTGTGGCATAAGTGAAGTGAGTTACGAAATGATATGGGATTAAAATATGTATGACACAAATAATCAATCAATTTTGTTTAGTGTTTTTTTGTACAATAAATGGAATCAATAATATTTCTATACTAAATGACGTGAATTGGGACACATGAGTGAATTCGAATTCAGGTCTGGATTTTTACAGAATCGCACTGCAGGTCTTAACTCTAAAGAGAAAGAGGCAGATGAAAATAAAGGATAATTAAAAGGAATAGAAGTAATAGGTTTGCATTTGGCGTATAGCTGAATTATTCCATTTTACATGACGAATTCTTAGTGGATTTAATGGGGCAATATCTACAATATTAAAATTAGATGGATTTTACTGCCTCACTAGGGTGTGCACTTGAAAATTTGTGTACAGCACGTTGGGTTATAGAATTCAGTCTTATTATGGTTAGAGATCAGAATGTTGCGAAAATTTCATTTATTGTAATAACGTGCAGACGTGTATACATAGATTTGGTTGTATATATGTATGAAAAAAGATCAGAATATGAGCAAACTAATTTACTGAAATTCTAAAGCGCCACCCTTATGGAGCAGAATCTATTAAATCTTAAATTAGTAGAACTCTTATAACTCGAACGAATTAACATGTGACCTCTGTAAATGAAATTTCGTCTTTTTGGAAAACACAATACGACTCCAAAGCAACGCATTTTTAAATAATTTATGGTGCAACGGACGGAGGTAGCACCTGACGGTGCCTCATAAACATGGATAGGTAAATCGTCACAAATATGGTTTAACCAAAATTCTAAGAACGAAAATTTTTTTCGAATGCAAATAGAGTAAGACCGCAGCTACTAAGGTGTCATGTTAATTCGTCTGAGTTATAGGTCAAATTTCAAATGACTAATGTTAATTGATAAGAAGTAGAGTTTAGTTCGATATATCATATACAGCGGTTGATATTACTTAAATCTACAAGCACCAAAATACCAAACTTTTAAACTCTGAACAAAAACGCATTATTCTTTCGCACATCTCACTAAATCTACGTGACCCGAGACTTAGAAAGGAGTTTGATTTAAACAGAAAGTTTCTATCTGTTCGGGCAAGCTACAGATAACGGATTTGACGCATGAAACTATCAGCCGTCTGGCTTAGCATGGCAACCCTACTGAGATGGATTAGAGTTTTGACTGGGGTGGAAATTTGTCGTTTGTTTATCGAAATATCTAGCTACATTTGAATTTAGTTAACAATAGTAATTTTATGGATAGGTTATAACATGAGCACTCTCCATGCCGTCACTCATGAGTATTTATGAAGAGTGCGAAGATTAATATTATATTATAGGTATTTGATCAATTATTCACAATGCTTTATTGATAAGTGGTAGTTGTATTAAATATTAAAGAGGTTTCCCATAAAACAAACGTGATTTTTTTGCTGTCACCATGGTGTATGTATGTGATGAACAGTGAGTTAGAAAGTTAAATCTTCACAGATAATGTATTTCTGTTCCCGCTATAACAACAAATAAAAAATACAATAAATATTTAACTGGTTCGTAAAAAAATACAAAATATCACAAGGGGAAGGGGGTGTAGTAATATATCAAGTGATTTTTTTTTTCCTCAAACGCGCAATTACTAAACCAAAAAGCAGCGTCAAAAATTTGGATTTTTTTGTGGTAGGTACTAAAAATTCACGTGATTTGGGTATAGGGGGGGGGGTTGACTTTAACCTAGCCATGTATCATCAAATGCTGATCACGTGATTAATGGTCGGCCCCTTATAGTCAGTGTCACTGGAGATGATGTAACGTTTCCAATCACTACATAGTATAAAAAAAAGTAGCTTTCTCTGTCCCTATGTATGCTTAAATCTTTAAAACAGATTTTGATGCGGTTTTTTTTCATAGACAGGTTGATTGAAAAGGAAGGTTACAAGTCCACGCGGGCGAAGCGGCTGGGGGCATGATCTATATACGCATATCTTTTGTCTTTCAAAAGTTATAATATAATTAACTCTAAACACAATATACTCCTTTCTTGGCGCTCATCTAAAAAAGGTGTAATTTATTGGATATGTAAAAGTTAAAAAAACTCAATGCAGTTTTGGTTGTTTATTTGTCAGGAAGCAAATGATTCACAGCATTGGTGGGTACAGAGGTCTTACAATACTGGGCCGAAACATTCATTCTCCTGAGTTGATCATATTTATTAGTAATACAACAGCTTAGAATACATAAGTACCCGAATATAAAAACGTGGGAAAACAAAGCAAAGTTTCATTCACATATTTTTTTTTGTCGTTTACGTAAACTACACACCTTACTAAATCACAATTTCTAATTATGTCAAAAATTATTTTATCACATTTATAACATTCTGTATTTACAAAGTAAAAAAATATTTTCATACTTCCACTAATAAAATAAAGCTGCAAGGATGATTGCAACGATGAACTATGTAAGTATTCTGCTTTCACTTAGGACAATATTATTATTTTAATGAATATAATTAAGTGGGTACGCTATGTCAGTGACAAACTTAGCAACGTTTACGTAGTATCGGTCACATAATTATCACACTCAATTTATTCATAATTATGATATGCTACAATGCTATTTATTTTCTTATTTTGTCAAGTGTTCGCACTTACACAGATACAGCTATTAAGTTATTTTTCCTCTATGTCTTAACTATAATTCAACTTGTTATAAATATCATAATAAAATCGTTAGGATATAAATAATACAATGATTACGTTACGTGGACTTACAACCTTTAGGTATAAGGAGTGACTTTTGAGTGTAAATACAGTACTTAATCTCTTATTTTTACAATTGTAGGGTAAAAAATAAAACAAATCGAAGTCGACGTACATAATGAATTCTCTCCAAAAATTTTTTTTCTTTTTAACGTTCTTAGTGGTTAGTATTTTCCCATACGGACACAATATTTAAATTGAAATAAAAACTTATTCGAATCAATTTGTACTGTATACTTTAATATACTATGTATATTAATCACTACGATACTTATGTTCTTCAAAGAAAATAAAATAAATTATATGTAGAACACCATTTTATTTAAATATTATGAATATCACTAAAAAATCATGCTGCGTCTTTCTTTTTCACATGGAAAGTCACAATTTAGAAGTTTTGCCTATGGAAAAATGGCGCTAGTTGCTAGTAACCACTAACACTTATTAGTTATTACATTAATCAACATCACTAAATGAGAAAGTGAATTTTTACTGAATAACGGCAATAATTTGTATTTAACAAAATTATTCTTTATTCAAATAAGCTTACATGGAAGCACTTTTGAATTGTCCAAATTTTTAGTCCTAGTAACAGTTCAGAATAATTATGTCGAAACAAACCAATCTATATAGCACAGTACAGTCAACAGTACGTTAGATTATACAATTCTGTCAAATTATTTCATTCGATTTTAAATCTACCTACATTAGATATGAAAATCAATTACCAAAATTTAATACATTTGAACTTTAGGTCCTACATAATAAAATTCGAGAAACCGGCTCGAATTACTATTTTAATATAAGACAATGAGTTAACGCCTCTTGATTACATTGTGTGGATGAATTAACTTAACAATTAGACAATCGTCTAATTTTAAAATCTAACGCAATATCTTTAATAAACATTTGAAAGATATTCACAATCTTTAAACTTCAACTATTTAACATGTTTGATGTTTCATTCAAATCGTCATTCCTTCAGAAAGAGATTGTGACTTTAAACTTTACATAATTCCATAAATCGCTACTGTAGTTATATATTTGAAAAGGATTGCCATAGATTATGAAATGAAACAATAAGGCCACAGGTCACTAACTATCAAAAAATTAAATTATATAGTAACATAATACGCGTCAACAGTGCCGTTATTTCTAAGAATTCATGTAAAAATAATAACTGTCTAAAGAAAACTTTTAGCAATGTGCCAACGAGTAAGGAGAAAAAAATCTGATTGCAAACGTTTTTATTTCAATTCAAAATTTATGTCCGTACGAAAAAATTTTGTTTGCCTGCAAATGTCAATTACTTAATTTGAATTCATATTAAAGAGAATACATACCACACCAACAATTATTAAATTTACTAACGCAAAAAAAAACAAAAATTATTTATCGATCGGCCACAGCGACAACAGCCCGGTCTCCCACCCATGCGCGTGACGCATCTGACCCGTCATAAACATTTTTTTTTAAATAATTATGCAAAAACAATTATACAACCCTTTTAATTTGAACTTTCTCAAAAAACGGGGGACTCTATAAAATGCAAATTGTGATTTGTGACAGTGATCATAGAGAAACATTTTGAATATATTGTTTTTTTTTTACAGGGACACTCAAGGTAATTTACAAATATACTCCGATATCTAAATATTCACTAATATAAACTGATAAAATATTTACAAAATGTGAACACATCAAACGCGACATGCCCATCACTTACACATCATATAGTTATTTACAACAACTATAAACAATAATAAAAGAGCATTTGCATGTGAGCTTGATCAAAATATTCCCTTGTTCTATATTATAAAACGTCTCATGTGCTTCTATGCAGGCACATATCTTTAATTTTTTTATTAATGTTGAACAAATATTTAACTGCTTAACTATTAACAAAGAGCTGTAATTCAAAATGACGTGAGGCATCCTAAAACATAGCTCGAGTCAAATCACTATACACATTTCAGGTGCCCATTTAGCTAGTTATTAGAAATCAGTCTTGCGTCAAAGGAAACAATGTGTGTCGTTCACTTTTGTACAATATTTGTCACATCAATTTGAACTGCATATTTTATTGAATAGTTTCTGAAGTCACATTTTTTAAATGTAATTTTACATTTATGTAGTGTGGTGGATCATTTCTATAGGAAAACACAGAATTTTAGGGAATTCCATAGCACCCATTAAAAGGATCGGACGTAAAACTCATATGGACATTATTATATAATTAGTTTCATTTATAATGATCAGCAGCAGCCTCATTGGAAATTGCAATCTTTCATGTTTTTAACATTATTTACAAATTCTTGTTTTACATTAATTTTGCCTGATAAGGGTTAACAAACAATTATATTACGTTAAAACATATCTTAACTTACTATACTAATAAATCATTTTTCAACTTGTACTAATTGACATGTACTAAAAATGTTTGCTGACAAATACAAACAAAATCAAAATACCTCATTTATTATATCAATTACTGTCAATAAACATATTTAAATTAAAAAAAAAAGTAACACAAATCACAAACACGTCATAACGTCTTGCATGTGTGGTTTTTATTACAAATAATACACATACATCTACCAATTGTTACCCATATGGCACACTATTGTATGACTTATAATCAATTGATGAAAGGCTAGTTGTGAAAAAAACTAATTATGTTATCAAAATTATATAGTCAATTGTACAATCAATTCTAATAATATTCAATAGAATGTTGACATTCCGTGATCCTTATCTCTTCGCAATAAGGGTGACTAACCGTCAAAAGTCTATAAATATATTATGATCCTAATGTGAACTGACTTGTGCGTCGCTGCTGCAAAAGTTATATCAATTTATGGAATTCCCTCCAAATTCAAAATATAACAACTAGAGGTCACACTATGTTGATAAGATAATTGCAATTTCGATTTAAGTTATTAATACATTATTAGAATTCTTATCACAGACATCTGTGAAGAAGTGTCGCAATTTCAAATTTACCTCCATTATTAGTGTATTTTTTATATTTTTAATTAATTCCATTATTGCTTATAATTTTCCTTTAATTGTGGTATTCACACTTACTATAACTTATATATGCAATATACACAATTTATCTACTAAAACGCTTCTACTTTCAATGTTCAACGGTTTATAGTTCATTCTAAACTAATCTGTAAAAGAAAAATTACAGAAGTAGAAGAATTTTGGGACTATGTTTTGGTAAAACTTTATTTAAGAAATTATTAAGTAATTTATGAATAAATCCTAGAAGCTCATTTTTCAAATTAAATTTTGTAATTTTTTTGTTACTCAATTTAAACATATACATAAAATGTCACTTCATTATAGAAATAATAAAATAATATCTAACTTTGATGTAATTCATGTTTACGCATAAGAAATGGTTAAGTGAAAATGCAAGGCACAGATGGATTTATGGATTAAGTAAAAATTAAGGGGTCTCTCTATTATTACAGTTATTTTTGTTTTATGTCAGATATAAATAATGGCTTTTTATGTCCTTAACATTTATAGCCCCTTTGAGATTAAAACACAAAAAATATAATACATTCAGATTTAATTCCTTATTTTACGTATTTCTATGGTCATATTATTATCAAGAAGAATATTTCTTGATCTAACATTTTTTTTTAATAAACTTATTGCCATATAATACATTCATGTCAATTCAGATCTGAAATTTTTTAACAAGAACATATGAAAGTTATATCGGCTATCAAATTGACCACATCAATAACTTTTACAGATCTAATTATTATTACACAGACTATTTAAAAGTATCAAGGTGTTGTCATAAATCGAAAATGCAATTACTCTTAAACATAATCACTTAAAACAATTCACCATTCCATAATAAGTTAGTCCAATAAGCGCACATAACATTAATATCATAAGGTCTATTAAATATTTCGATCTACGACCGACACGTCTGTCGATACCGATTCCGATAGATCGCGGGGTCGCGCTTACGGGCCGGCTCATGTCACTATTTACATTACCGACCTGACACTTTGGTACTAATGGACAGATCGCGCGAGGACGTCGCGAAGTCAACTAGAACAAACTCACCTCGGTCGTTCACCGGCGGGGGCTACTTATCGGGCTCCGGTGGTGCACCGAAATCGAGTTGGTAACCGCCTGCGCGAGTCATTTCCTCCATGCTCGGCTCCTTGCACTCGTGGCCTGCGTGACCGGCGGCGCCGCAGTTGTAGCACGATAACTTGGCCGGCGCGTATAACACCGGCACGTAACCGCCGTAAGGCGCGGGCGCGGTGAACGGTGGTTCACCGTTTGCGACGGCGGCGAACGGCGGTGGTGGGGGTCGATACGCGGGTGGCGGCGTCGGGTAAGGATACGGGCGCGGGTAAGGCAGGAACGAGACAGGCGGCGGGGCGGATGGAGTGGCGCGCCTCTGGGGCGGGGCCGGCGTGCCGGGCGGGGACGACGCGGCGCTCGAGCCGCTGTCGGAGGACGAGCGCGCGGGCGGACAGTACCCGCCCCCTCGTCTCCGTACGCCGTTCAGTTTCTCTAGTGAACGATAGTGTTGTGCCGCTGTGATCTCTCTTAGTCGCTCCTCACCTATACTATGCCGCATCTGAAGCAAACACGTGTTCCGTTTTAGAATAAAGAAATAAATTTTTATTGGGTCCCCATTTCATTGGGTGCAGTCAAGACCATTAAAGCAGTATAGGACTAATGAACAGAAAATAAAAAACAGACTTGACAACAATACTGGATAGTAAATGTACAATAGTAATATAGTAAATAGACAATAAATACAAATAAATCAGGAATGATGACTGGGTAAAAAAAAGGGATTCTATTAGTCAAATAATAAAAAAAATATTGGATAGGTATTTTTTGCTTCAGTTTAAGAAATGTTCACAATTATGTATCCTATTAATATTATAAATGTGAAAGTTTCTTTGTTGGATGTTTGTCGGTCAATCACGCCGAAACTAATGAACGGATTTTGATGAAATTTGGTATACAGATAGGGTATTAGTTGACTTAGATAATAGGATACTTTTTATCCCACTTAACATTAACCTAGGGACCAAGCGGGCGAAGCCGCTGGCGTAAGCTAGTAAAATATAAAAAGGTGTGATGTCATGCGACATTCAACTCAATGTATCCAGTAACTTATTGATTATATAAAAAATCAAAACACATGTTTATTCTTTTTCAAGAATCAACTTAATGAACAAATAAACAATAAGTCAGTCATTCTCCTAATGACTTTTGATAACTTAAAAAAAAATGCCTTCTGGAGCACGAAGGAGGTCGACATCACTAATCTACAACACAGTAATTTCAAAACCCATCATGTGTTAGAAAGGAACAAGTATTCACCTCAACTACAGATAGATTCTCGAAGTTAGTTGTGAGATGAGGCAATGGTGGCTGATCAGGTGGTCCTACTGGTGGCAAGGGGGGCGAGCGGTCGCGTGATAAACGTCTACGTGCTCGTGGCGACGCGGCGCGGCTGTCACCTGGTGATGAAACCAACGGTGACGCAGGCCCACCTGGTGCCGGTGGATAACTTATAACCTGGAATAAATAATAGTAGAGCACTTTAGGCTTTTTTGATCACAGTTCTAACCTATTTTCTTTCTTTGTTATGCTAAACAACATCATGTGAGATTGAGTTTTATCAACCGTTGATTAGGCCAAAAGAAATTCTGTTATCTTTATAATATGACACTGTAAATTCGGGTCTAAAATGTTCAGCTAATCAATGATAATGCTAATAACTTTTATGTCTTAAAATTTCATGAAAAGATAATCAGGCCATGTATAATTCCAAATTAGTTTCAAAGCATTAAGAATCTACTAGATAAAAGGAACCCATACATTATTGAATTTTAAATTCTTAATAGTAATAAAACTTGTCAGTTATTGAGTCAGTATAAAAGGCGTAAAGTATCTTATTTGTAATTATATTAATTACAGCGCGTTTTGAACACACGGAATTTTGACCTCTACCCTCATTATATTAAGTGGGGAGGGAAGGGAAGGACTGGGGAACTTTGACTATTTGTATCATCAGGGCGGTGGCGGAGCGCAATGTATTGCATCGCGACTGACACTCGTCAACGTGCTCGTAGCCGAAACACCGAAAAATAATCAGCAATTAAAAATGTCGTCAGTCTACCATTCAACAGACAACTTGAATGATTATTCACTCACGATCAGACGTGACGATAGCCGAGTAGAGGAGCCGACCGGTTACCGTGGTATATGCACGGATTTAACAGAGTTCCAAGCAGTGTAAATTCCATGCAAACAGGGACCTTAACAATTGTATACAAGTCTGAATTTTCTTTAGCACAGTGTGAATTGCGCTTAGCCGCCGACCGGTTGGTGGATATCGTACATAAAAGTGACATTCCTTTGAGACCAACTGTCATGAAAGTAGACATTTATAATGCAATGAGTTGGTTGTAAACAAAAAAGAGAATAAATTGCAGATGCAAACAAGTCACTTTTTTTTGTGGACTTCTCTGGATTCCTACAACTTTTGATTGGCTCAATAACTTCAAAAAAACAATAAAGCTAAAATAAAAATAAAATCTGCTTCTTGGTAAAAAATCCTTAATATTAGGCTGCATGAGATAAGATTCATTCACCTTAAATAAAATTTACTTCTAGTGGTAATATTATTGTATTACTATCATAAAACAATCACACTATCAAGATGGCAGAATTTCTTATGGCATTTTGAACTTTGACAAAACTTAATCCTATTAATATTATAAATGTGAAAGGATGGTTGTCCATCAATCACACCAAAACTACTGAACGGATTTTGATGAAATTTGATAAAGAGATAGGGTATTAGCTGATGGGCATACTTTTTATCCCACTAAACACTTCCCCAGGGACGACACAGGCGAAGCCGCTGGTGAAAGCTAGTTTCATATAATTTTGTTAAACAAATTGTCAGTTAGGTTAGAACTGTGACCAAAATAAAATTTTTAAGATGATTCTGACTTGAAAATGATGAGTATTCAATATTTGCTTTGTGGATGTGGAAAAGTAGTTGTGTCAAAACAACTAAGCCTAATAACATTATAACATGTTGTTCTGCATATTATCATTATAAAAGTCTGCCTTATTGGTTTAACCTATAAATGTTTTTTTTTTTATTGTTTTACATTATTTTAAAATAAGTTATGCCATAGACTAAATATACTGTGCGTTATGAATTAATGTAAAGGTCGAGATTGACAGTAATGGTGTTTGTAGTACCTATAACTTAAATTTATATGAAAATAAGAGATGTGTTTGATGATCGTGGGGTGATTTATTATCCCACAAATTAATGAGTAAAATAATCAACAAAAAATGTATGTACCCATAGTGTAGTATGTGAATTTGTGAGGAGAAATAAAGATATTTATTATTATTCCTGTATTTATATTTATTTCTTATTATCGTTATTATTATTATATTATTACAGAATTAAACTTAATAACTCTTTCTTTCATACCTCTAGAGGTTGATTGATTGGTTGTACTATGATGTTTGCTGGCCATCCATGTTGCCCCATGTATTCTCCCATGTTGTATTGGGGTATTGGCAGTCCTGGTGGCGGATGAGGCACTTCGCTAAGCATTGGCACTACATTGCCTGTACCACTAAGCATGGGTGGTGAGCTAAGTTCTTGAGGTATTGTGTCTGTGCTCGCCTGGGCCTGCAATATTTAAAAATAGTAAATTACTATCAAATTTCTCATAGACTTCTTTTTCTTTAAAAATGTAACACAGATAAGTATATTTGGTAATTATATTTGATCAATTTCACATTCTCAATGCTATACCGAATTACTGGTGCCTGACATCCTGAGATTGGATTCAAAAATCCACTTGGCCCTAAGATAAGTGCCAGTGACCAAGTGGATTTTTTAAGCATTTGTCATTAAGAATACATACAAGTATGTTAAGTAATCATTAGATGTGCTTACATTTCTAATATATTTACTGTTTTATTACGTTTTAGTCACATTATTAAAATTAACTTTAACATTTTTTTTTTAAATTTAAGACTAAAAGTAAATAATAAAACTTTTCTAATAGCTTTCACAATGGAATTCTTAATAGATAACAATTTGTCCTAGTTCTGCCTTGTCCAACTTTTTTGAGTAACAATATTTATCAAAAATTTTGAAACACAAAGTTTATGTTATAATTAAATTTATATATCACTTGTTCTATAGAAATACTCATTAGTAGCATTTTACTGAAAAAAAATTTGGAGATAATATATATGTTCATAACATAGTTGTTGGATTCTAAATGTTCAACTTGGAAATGTATATTATGATACACATTGAAATTGTTATACTATATTATTCAACATACAATTTTTATAACCACATCCAAGCATTTCAAATAATATTTTTGCATTCTTCTTAATTATATAACAATATAATTGTATTGCATTAAAGTACATTCTATGATGTATGTGGGTGAACTATGCTAAAACTTGCACAATTAGAAGCGTTATGTATGAAGACGCTGTTATCTTAAGCTGTTATATAGATATCTACAATAATGAAACTGACCTGAACCCCAGGTGTTTTGACAAACATGATACCAGGTGGAGGCCCCAAGCTAGATAAATTAGGTGGCGGAACTGACATATTTGCTGTGACACTAGATTGAGTATGGCAAGCACTCACAGGAGCTACATTTATATGTTCTTGTTGCTCTTGATACTGTATCCTCTGATCTTCCACTTTCAATTTGTCTAGTATCTCACCAAAATGGGATTTCTGATCAAATGTGAAAGCTGGGTGATGTAACGCCATGGTGTATAGAAGTAAAATTTCTTCTAATAGATCACCATATAAACCATTTAGGAGACCACTCTGTTCCAAGCTAACCATTGCATTATACAATGTGGTAGCACATGCAAAATTACATGACCGCAGTAAAGACACATATAAAGCCATTTTTCGTCGTGTCCTAGGGTCTGTATTAGCTCCTCCAATATCAGCAGCCAGATCTGTGGGGTTGTTCGCTCTCAATTCGGCACCACGCAACTCCTGAAAGTCCCGCTTGCCGAGCTCTTCCAGGTAGGTACCAATGAAGCGTAATTCGAATGGTAAACACATATTTAGTAATGTACACATCGCGTCTATGCGTTTATAGCTTTCCAATTCTTTAAACCATGATACCACGTCCTCTTTGCAAACCATTTCCAGAACACATTGAAATTTTATGTATAGAATCAACCGGTCCCCTTCAGCCGAAGCTTCACCGTCTCTTATAATTTTTGGCACACACAATTTTTGTGTAAATTTGATGGTTGTAATCCAAGAATTTTAGATTGTAACATTAGTGATTTTAATGCTTTTATCAGTAATTCCCAAGTACAATAAATTAGCAACTACAGGCAATGCTAGAGTTTTGTCTCTTCTTTAGTCTATGGAACGGCGAAAGCTAGCCATGGATCTATATATGTATGGATTCCCCGCGTCTAAATTGAAATAATATAAAGGTACCACATTTATAGTGTGTTATTGCGTTTCCTGTAATGAGTTTTTTCTATAGTGTGCACTGAAGTGCTAGTCACTGCCTGAAGTATCTAAGCGGCAGGACGGGGGAGATAATAGGAATGGGCAAAAACTATCGATATATCAAATTATCGATATTTTTTTTTATAAAAAACGATATTTTTTTAAAAAAATATCGATATAAATTAGCGATATATTTTTCCCGCGATATATCGGCTTTCGATATTTATTTTCAAATATCAAATTCGATACATTTTTTTTTTATTTCTGGTGTCTGCACATGCGTCACATCATGTATTTCTTAAATTTAGAAAAAGAGTAGGTGGACAGTAGGCTGTATGAGTTTAGTCTATGACCTGTTTGTGTTTTTTGTTCGACTTTTTATTTGACAGTGACACTGCTTGTTGGTTTAGTTGGTATCACTGAGTGTGCTCCTGATGACAATATCAGAGAAATGCACGTTTGTTTGAACAATCTAAGTTTGGTTCTGTTAATAATGTTGTTTTCTTAGCTTTATGTGCCTATTTTAAATAATAAATCTGATATCAAAACAGCCAGGTGTGTAGTTGCTTCAAAATTCGAATATTTTGATATTATCATTGATAATCGCTTAATACGCAGAAAATATCGATATATCAATATATCGATATATTTTTGACGATATTTATCGATATATTTGAAAAATATCGATTCTATATATTTCGATATTTTTTCCCATTTGCCCATCCCTAGGAGATAAATAAACGTCAAACGTCAAACGTGACTATTACACGATTCAGTTAATTGTGCCACTTTTTTCGAAACATACGTGAGACAAAATATCCCAAGTGGGGTCCGCCAGTTACACGACAAGTGAAAAATGATATTAACAATGTCCACAGTTTTTTTCTCAGACGAAAGGTTGACAAGGAAAGTATAGAACACAAATATGATATGAACATAAATAAATTAGTAGCAGAGGCTATAGGAGTGTCCAGCTCGCAGCGTAATGAGAATTGTACCTGAAGGATATTGAATCTAGAAATATCGGAAAACCTGAAATTTTCGTCTCTATGGAAACCTAAACAAATAAAAAAGGGAATCCATATAGACGATTTTGCCATGGGTGTAATACGAAGAAAAATTAATCAGTTTTATAAAAAAAATCCCAAGTATTCGTAAGCTGATTGCAGTTTTAAAAGAAGATGGTATCGTGAACTGCTGTTGTACCTATTTAAGACGGCTTTTACATAAGATGGGATATTTCTTTAAGAAAAGTAAATCTAAGAGACATATTTTGATTGAGTGACCTCGTATAGCTGAAAGGCGAGTAAGGTATTTAAGAGCTATACAGAAATATAGAAATTAAAACTGATATATATATTTTCTGAACAAAACCTACGTTAATAGTAGCCACAACTCGAAAATGTGTTAGCAATTCGAATCTGAGCCTGGTAGTTATGATGATATTGGCAAAGGGCGTCGCTTAGTCATTATTCATGGTAGCAGTCGAGAAAGATTAGTTGACGGTGCCTAACTATTTTTAGATCAGATTCGAAATGTGGGGATATGAACGCCACAAATTTTCATAACTGAAAAAAAGAATTCAGACGAAAAAATTACACCATTGACGAAATTTTAAAGGCTGGAGATTATATCGTTCTTCGCCTTCCTCCGTATCATCCCAATATCAACCCTATTGAGCAAGTGTGGGCCGATATAAAGAACAATTTAGCTTCAAATTATACTGGGAGCAACAAAATGACCGACACAGCCAAAAGTTTCAAGGTAGGTTACATGCAAACGTTCATTTTATTTGACAAATATTTAAAAATAGACGAGGTGTAAAAATGGAGTAAACATTTCAATTTCTAAGTGCAACGCGCATGCGCAATATCGATTGTGTGCAGATTACAACGAACCGCGAAATACATTAATTTAATTTAATTATTTACCGATATCTTAATGAAAGTCGATGATGAAAATGTTCACTTCCTCTCTAAAGACTGAACTAAGCACGCTCAAAACTAATCACAATCTTCACTAAACTAAACTTAACACTCAAGACGAACACTCTAGTATCTTATTAACAAAAATTCAATTAGAAATGCACTGGAACAAAACAAAAATCGACAAAAAAGGCACTTCGCAGCGGTGCGTCGGCGGCGATGCGCAACAACACTCCAGCGCAAAAGGTCGGCGGCGACTGATCGGCCGGAAAATATCGACAGAATAATGAAGCCGCCTGACGGCTGGCGGGCGGGGGGGCTTTGATATCGAGGGACGAACTCGGTTTACATTTTTTTTATTCGTCTTTTGATACCACGCATTTTTTAATGTTCTTTTTAAATGCTATTTTAAGAACAAACTCCTCAATGTTTTTAAAACAAAGTTCATTTGTGTTAATGATGAATCGCTGGAAGATTTGTGAGTTTATCGAGTTTAATTTTGTGACGCGGTCTAAGTAATATTAACTGGAAAGAAATTGACGGAGTTGACTGTCCTAACTCAATACTAGAATTTATTAGTAAAAAAATTAACAATTCCTTTAACGACTCCGAAATAACAGTAAAATTAAAAAATAAAAATAATAAACGAACCTCAAACAAATGGATTCATTTAAGCATTATTAAAGCATGCGAGTATAGGGATAAGCTTTTTTACCAATGGATAAGAGATACTGGTAATTTAATATTAAAGCAGAAATATACAAAAGCACATAATTATTCAAATAAGCTAATAAGATCATCGAAAAATAAATATACTTATAATCTAATTAATAAATATAAAAATAATTTGAAACAACTCTGGTTTATTCTTAATAAAATAACAGGTAGGGTACGTAAAGCGGTATACGAGGGTCAAACTGAAAGTTCTTAGAAAATCAAAAACTGATTACATTAGCCAGTTATTAGTTTTATTATATCTTTTCAAAATATTGTCCATTCACGTCAATACACCGCTGCATGCGATGGAACCACTGGGAAAAGCACTTTGCCCACTCGTCCTTAGGGGTCTCTTCAATGGCATCGCGATACGCAGCCACCGCTTCTTCAGCATTCATAAACCGCTTTCCTTTAAGTTTTTCTTTAATTTTTGGAAATAAATAAAAATCACAAGGCGCGAGGTCGGGGCTATACGGCGGGTGACCCAGTAATTCAACGTTTGATGTCGCCAAATAGTCGATCGTTCGCTTGGCGGTGTGCGACGAGGCGTTGTCGTGGTGAAGGAGGATCCTACTGCGAGGTCGTTTCTCTCGAACTTTTTCCAAGACAAGTGGCAAACAATTGGTAGTGTACCATTCTGCAGAAACTGTTTTTTGATCCTCTAACACAATTGTTGCAAAATGACCTATCCTTCCAAAGAACGAGGCCACCATTTTTTTTCCCGCACTTCGATCTCTCTTCACTTTAGTTGGCAACTCCTCGAAAGGAAACACCCACTGAGCAGATTGCCTTTTGGTTTTAGGATCATAACAGTAAATCCAGCTTTCGTCACCTGTTAGTATGTCGAACACAGCATTTGAGTCACCTCCGTTAAATCTTTCAATCATTTTACGACACCAATCCACACGATGGAGTTTTTGAGCCTCAGTCAAATTATGAGGTATCCACCGGGCGCAAAGCTTCCTGACCGCTAAATGTTCGTGGAGGATTTTGTGCACTTGACTCATACCGATGCCTAAGCTTGTCCGAATCTGTTGATAGGTCACTCTTTTGTCAGTCTCTATCATACGCCGCACAACACAGATGTTATCTTCAGTCGTCGCCGTAGAAGGCCGTCCCTCACGTAAATCATCAGTGAGATTAGTGCGACCACGTTTAAACTCATTAAACCAGTTGTAAACAGTCGCACGAGATGGGGCTTCATCGTGAAAGGCCAATCGTAGTCTATCATAACTTTCTTGTTGACTTAAATGACATCGAAAGTCATAAAAAATCATTGCACGAAAATTTTCTCGTGTTAAATTCATGATGACGTGACACAGACAATTTTCAATTTGCCGCCAAATCGTAAAACAAATGACAAATGAATGAAATATATACTCAGTAATATTGGCAAAGAGTTATATTTTCAAATTTTAGAATTATTTTTTTATTATATTGTTTATAAGTGGCCAGTTCTAAGAACTTTCAGTTTGACCCTCGTAGATACTGTTTTGCTTGATGCGTTTCGAGATACAAATAAAAATAAATATACTATCGCTAATAACTTTGCTTCATTTCAGAGTAGTGTTAAAAATGTAATGTAAAAAAATTAAAAATGTAAAAAAATGTAATGTCCCCGATGTAGAAATCTCATTTTAGATAAAGCGGAATATACATATCCTATGTGTGTAACTATGAATTTTCAAAAAGTGACGCCAAAAGATATTCTTAAAACTATAAATACAATGACAGGATTCGGGCGTTAGATATAAAATATATAAGCGAAGAAATTTTCCCTGTTATTGCAAAATTGGTAAACGTATGTATATATACTAATAGATATCCTGGTGAACTAAAAACTGGAATAGTGAGGCCCATATATAAGAAAGGTAGTCACAAAGGTTATGATAACTATCGTCCTATTACCATATTGTCTACAATAGATAAAATAATAGAGAAGACTTTAGCCAAGCAAATATATAAATTTTATAATCATAACAATACTTTGAATGCAGAACAATTTGCCTTTCAGCAAAACAAAAGTACAACACAATTACTCTCTTCGTTTACCGATTTCATTTACAAAAATCTTGATGATAAAAAACACATGTTATTGATATTTATCTATTACAGCAAGGCGTTCGATACTTTGCGTCATGATATATTATTGGAACGGCTTGATGAATGTGGTATTAGAGAGAAATTGCTAGAATGATGTCGAGATTATCTTGAAAAACGTTCGTATCATGTTAAGGTTGGCAATGCGCTA